AATATTTTTTATTCTCATTACTCACTCTGGATCCACCACCAGACATAGCCTGGAAGGTCAGGGTCCTGGCCCCCGTGGGCTGCATCTCATCTCTCCCCATGAAGGATCCTAGCCGCACGGAGCCTGTGGGGCACCTGTACACTTCTCCTTCTGGACCAGATGTGAGGCTGGAGTGTCCCATCCTCTGCTGAGCCAGGCTCTCAGCTCTTGCCACCTCGTGTAGATGTTTCCCTTCACCCTGGTGGCACCTGCTCTTCTCCAACCAGCGAACACTGGAATGGGTTTTGACCTGCACTGGAAAATGCACAGATCCTTGAAAATCATCTAGTACTGTGGCAGGTGTAGGCTGTTGCTTTTGATCTATGTGATTGTGTTCTAGAATATATCCTTTTTGCTTTTTCTCCTTCAGGGACTATTTCAGGGCTCCCCGCATTGTTGTGTGTACACGTAGTTGCTGTTGGTTTGCTTTTTCCGTGAAATATGCTTCTATTATGTTTTTCCAGCTTTATTGAGGTATGATCAACAGATAAAAATTATCTACATTTCAGGGGTACAGTGTGTTTTTGGTGTGCGGTGTGACGATTTTATCACATATGCATCGGGAAATGATTCCCACCAGCGAGCTAAGTAACATTCGTCACCTCACATAGTTACCATTTGTGTGGTAAGAACACTTGAGATCTCTACTGTCTTAGCAAATTTCTGAGCACGCAGCACAGCATTATTAAGTACAATCACCACGCTGTACAGTAGAGACTCAGACCCATCTTATAGTAAAACTTTGAATCCTTTGGGTGAGCCTGGGCGGCTCAGCGGGTTAAGCATCTGCTTTTGGCTCAGGCCCTGATCACAGGGTCTAGGGATCCATTCCCTGCTTCTCCAGGGAAGGCTGCTTCTCCCTCTCCCTCTGCCCCTCCTCCTGGTTGCACTCTCTCTCTCAAATAATTACAATCTTTAAAAATAAATAAATAAACCTTTGTGCCCTTTGCCTGGCATCTCCCCATTCCCCACCCCACCCCCAGCCCCTGGTAACCACCCTTCCACTCTCTGGTTCTCTTAGTTTGACTTTTTTTTCAAAAACACAACAGTATTGGGATGCTGGGAGGCTCAGGGGTTGAGCAGCTGCCTTTGGTTCAGGGTGTGACCCCCAGGTCCTGGGATCAAGTCCCCCATGCCCCCCCCCCCCCGGGAGCCTGCTTTCCCTCTGCCTGTGTCTCTGCCTCTCTCTGTGTGTCTCTCATGAATAAATAAATAAAATCTTGAAACACACAACAGTATTTGTCCTTCTGTCTGGCTGATTCCAGGGAACATAATGCCCTGGAATTAAGGCGCAGGAGCGCCTTCTTTTTTGCGGCTCAATCCTATTCCGCGGGATTGTGTTCTCCACATTCTCTTTCCTTGGCCTACAGACCCTTTGGTTGTTTGCTGAGAACGCTGTTGCGGTGAACGTGGGGGGTGATTACGCTTCCTTCAGATACATACCTAGAAGCGGATTGGTAGGTCTGGGGTGCGTGTTGAGGACCCCCACACCTCCGCGGTGTGTGCCCACTGGCTGCCCGCAGTCACTGTTTCCAAGTCCAGGGTGGGGTGGGGCAATATCGCCGCAGGGGCACATCCCACATCGCGCTTTGGGCTTTGGGCGAGCACTGAGGTCGTTTCCAGCTTCTGTTACCCACGGGCCCCGCCGTGCACGTCTTCACCGGGTCCAGCGGACCAGCCGACCAGCGAGAGGACCTTTGGTATGTTTACCCAGAAGCAGACTTGCAGGGATCAGGCCAGATATGCATTCCTAATTCCACTAAATACCTTGGAGAAGGGCTCTGGCGATGGGTGCTCCCGGGAGGAGGGAGGAGTGTGTGAGCTCCTCTCCCCACACCCACACCTTGCCACCCCTTGACTTCATCTCTGATTCTTGTCAACCAGATGGCTGCTTGACGGTTTTCGTCACATTACATCAGACTCTCTGCAGACTACCTCTCTCTACCATTTGCTACTGCTAATGTAGGTTTCCTCCCCCACCCCCCACCCCCCACCCCGGCCTCAGACTCCTGTGTCTTCTGTTTGTCCGTCCACCTCTACCATATACCCTGTTCCTCATCGTTGTTCTTTGGCCTCCGTCACCGAGCTGTATGGCTGCATCATCCCTTTCCATTCCAGTGGCAGCAGATGATCAGAGGGAGGAAGAGGAGGGAAGTGATGTTAGCTCCTCCAGCTTCTCCCCCACCAACCAGCAGTGAGCTAGCTGCCTCCAGCCGCCTGGAGTTATAACAGACACAGGTCCTATTGGGGAGGGGGGGCTCTTCTCTCTTCTCAGGTTCCTGGAGGTGCCAACAACTCCTCACTGCTGGGATCCCTGGGGCCCTGCCCTCTTTCTTGTGGCTTCCCTAACCCTGCTCATCTCTTCCTAGAATCATTCCTGTATTAAAATATCCTCTGGGGGCCCCTGGCTGGCCCAGTGGTGGAGCGTGCAACTATTGATCTTGGAGTTCTGGGTTCGAACCCCACATTGGGTGTAGAGATTAGAGATCACTTAAAAATAAAACCTTTTGGGGCAGCTGGGTGGCTTAGTGGCTGAGCGACTGCTTTCGGCTCAGGGTGTGACACCCTCCCCCCCGCCCCCCGCCGGGTCCTGGGATCAAGTCCCACATCTGGCTCTGCACAGGGAGCCTGCTTCTCCCTCTGCCTGTGTCTCTGCCTCTCTGTCTCTCAGGAATAAATAAATAAAATATTTTAAAAATAAAAATAAAATATTTTACAAAAAAATCCTCCAATTACCCATTTCACATATGCCATCTGTTTCTTGCTGGGTTACCTGATACATTGTCACTGAGCTGAAATGTTTCATTTTCATGCAATCAATTTCACCAAAATTGTTTTGGCTTTTTGGTATTTGCTTTAGAGTTCTTATGGATGAAGTCCTTCTGTACCCCTCTATAACAAGATTATCCTTCCTTCTTTTTTTTTTTTTTCCTATTACTTCTGTACTGTACTTTTACATTTTCTATTTAGGTCTTGAATCTATCCAGCGTCCAATTTTGTATGTGATGTTAGGTATGATGCGGGAAACAAAGGCAGAAGAGAAGTGATTAAATTTCCGTGCTCCCTACAGCCCACTGACCAGTCCTTGAATCAGGCAGGGGGCCTTCCTCCAGGGGCTCAGTGGCCTCCATGGTCACCTGTCACTCAGGGCAAAAGGCAACCTTAGCCCCACCCCCAGGACCCTGTGAGTCTGCTTTATTTTTTTATTTTTATTTTTTGTGAGTCTGCTTTAACACAGAACAATTCCTTTAGAACCTTCCTTCCTCTCAAACCCCCAAGATCATGCCCCAGGCATCTGACCCACAGATGCACATCTGAAGGGTCTCATGCCTCAGGTTTTATTAGACGGTAATAAATGACCTTTCCCGACAATAGCTGGTCCCCTCAGGGTCCCAGGAACCTTGCTTCCAAATTCCTCAGAGTCTCAGGCTCTCCCTGACCCCCTCCCGACTTGAAAGTCTATAACGGGCCCTCCAGGGATCCCTGGGTGGCGCAGCTTGGCGCCTGCCTTTGGCCCGGGGCGTGATCCTGGAGACCCGGGATCGAATCCCACATCAGGCTCCCGGTGCATGGAGCCTGCTTCTCCCTCTGTCTGTGTCTCTGCCTCTCTGTCTCTCTCTCTATGACTATCATGAATAAATAAATAAAATCTTTAAAAAAAAAAAAAAAAACGGGCCCTCCTTGTGACCCCGTGCAGCCCTTCCTGCCCACGGGTCCTGTCCCCAGTCTTTCATCAAACCATCTTTTTGGAGGCACCTGGGTGGCTCAGTGGTTGACCATCTGCCTTTGGCTCAGGGCGTGATCCCGGGGTCCCAGGATCGAGTCCCACATCGGGCTCCCCACAGGAAGCCTGCTTCTCCCTCTGCTTGTATCTCTGCCTCTCTCTGTGTCTCTCAGGAACAAATAAAATTTCTAAAAATTAAAATTAAAATGTCCCATTGTACTCAAATAAAATACATACCCTGTAGTTGATTATTTTAATAAACCCCTGCCTTCTCTTCTGAAGGATTTTATTCTTTTTCCAGTTCTTTGAGCCAAAACTTAGCTCATTTCAATTTAGCCGTGTTTTTTTAGCAAACGGGATTAAGTCCATATACTTTTCCTCCTGAGAACTGCTTTAGACAGTCCCACAACCTCAGTATGGAGTGCTCTCCTAGCTCATTTCTGAATTACCTGTCTCATTTTTATTTTCTGTTGTACCCAAAGTAATCCAGAAAGATGGTGAGATGGCTCACCATCATTTATATGCTGATGGATCTTTTTGTCTCTACTTTTGTGTTCATTCAGTATTTGTTGATGCTCCCATAGGTGCCTGCAAAGTCTTAATCTGTTTGTTCCTGTGTTCCTCCTGGGTTGTGGATTCTATTCATTTGGGGACTTCTTTTCCACTTTCCAGTTTTCTGGCTTTCTTCTCAGGTTTGGTGGTTCTCGGTGGTGGGCTCATCCTCACATTCATTGTATTTGTTGCCTGCCTGTGGACACTGCCTCTGTCCACTGTAATGCATGTGACAGGCACCAATGAGTTTCATGCAAAGTTTTCTTTTTTAAAGATTTTATCTATTTATTCACGAGAGACACAGAAAGAGACAGAGACGCAGGCAGAGGGACAAGCAGGCTCCTTGCAGGGAGCCCCATGCAGGACTTGATCCCAGGACCCCAGGGTCACGCCCTGAGCAGAAGGCAGATGCTCAACTGCTGAGCCCCCCAGGTGCCCCCATGCTAAGCTTTAGAAGTCCTGGACACCTGGGGTGATTCTGATCTTAGGGGGATTGCACAGGTGCACTGGTCCTTAGTCCCAGGACACCTTTACAGGGGAGACCCAGAACAGGAGCCCTAACTCCCACACCTGTAAGTACCAAAGCCCCCTCATTCCTCTCCAGGCCACACCGCCTGCCCCAGGCTTCCTTCCCACCCGCCCACTCCCGATTCCCAACGCCCAATAACCAGACAACAGTGGCACGTTCGAATATTTCTGGGTTTTTTACTCTAAAAAAACGTGGACCATAACCTGCAAACCGCGGCAGGTAATATTGGATTCCATCTCCCCACCCCTCCAAACGTGAGTCTGCGAATCACAGACGTCGTCCTGTCCCCTTCCCTTAAAATCCTGGATCAGCCATCCCAGAGGAGGTGGAGGAGGCCCCTCCTCCACCGGGACGGGGGCGGGAGGATCACGGGGCAGGGGGAGGCACTGTGGAAATAAATTAGGGGAGAGGAGGCCCCTAGGTGGCGGGGTCGCGCGCCGCCTCGCACACCCAGCGGTAGGGCCTCTGGCACACGTCGTCGTTCCAGCGGCCGTCGTCCGTGAAGTGCGCGCAGTCCTCGCCGCCCCCGAGCCCGTGCCCGTACCAGTCGTCTGGCTGCTCAGGCCTCCAGTTCCTGCGGATACCAGTGGATGTGCGCCTCCACCCCGACCAAGCCTCCCCCGCCCCCCCCCGGCGCCCCGGGTGGGGATGGGGGTGGGGTGGGAGTGGGGACCCGCGGGGCTGGGACGTGCACCGCCAGGGCGGGGCGGCGCACACTCACTTGAAGCCGGTCTCGTAGTCCGTCCCGTCCACCCACTTCCAGGGCCCACTCTGGTCCGTGAGGCCCATCCAGGTGTTCACGGGCCCCATGTGATGCTGGATGAACTTCTGGGGAGAGGGGATGGAGTGGTGGGCGCCCCCCGGAGCAGCCAGCACCCCAGCACCGCCAGGCCCCCCTTACCTGCCCCCACGAGCCCTGGGGCGCTCACCTGTTCCTCCCTGGAGTTGACGACCACCAGGTGCGCGCTCTCCAGCTGGCAGTACTTGTCGGCCTCCGGCCAGGTCTTCCCGGAGCGGGAGAACCAGTAGCAGCTGCCCTCGTACTCCAGCCAGTTGACGGGGCAGCAGGTCAGCGTGGAGCCTGGGGGGCGGGGAGGAAGGAGCGGGGAGGCTGAGGCGCTGCCCGTGGGCAGGTGGGCGCCAGGGTGGGCTACCGGGGCCTCGCCTCCTCACCGTTGCCATGGAGCGCCGCGATCTGACAGCTCAGGCTTCGCAGGTCCGACACGAACTGCTTCACGTGCAGCAGCAGGTCCGAGTGATCTGGGGGCGCCCAAGGCAGGGGATCGGGGGACCAGCCACAGGCACAGCCAGGCCCTCGCTTTGGCCTGAGGGACCCCACCACCCCTGCACACACGCCCTCTGACCTTCACTCAGATCCTTCTGCTGCTTCTCCAGCTGAGACTCCAGGGATTTCATCTTTCTGCCCACATTTCCTCCTGGGGAGACACTTGCTCAGTGCCCCCACATCCCTAGCGCCCCACGCACCCCCTCAGCCCCAGCCCCAAGCCCCCCTCACCCTGGCTGCTCAGAGCTTTGACTTCGACCTCGGTGCTTGCCGTGAAGTTGCTGAAAGTCTCCCTCAGAGCCTGCAGCTCCCCCCGCAGCTTGGAGTCTGGATGGGAAAGAGTTGCAGAGAGCAAAACAAGGGGGCTGCGGGTGCCATCGCAGCAGCCAGCCCTCCCACCTTGCCACCCCAGGCCCCCCCAGGGCACTCACTCTGGGATCCGATGACGCAGACGACCACCAGCAGCAGGACACTGAGGCCCAGGGACAGCAGGAGGAGGCAGGGTCCGGAGCAGAGCCTCCGCAGGAGTGGCTGGGGGGCGGGTGGCACTGCAAGAAGCCCGGGTATGAGGATCCCTGGGACACACGGGCGGCTCTGGGGCCCCGGGGCGGGAGGGGGGGAGTGGCAGGGGTGGGGGGGGGAGAGCGGGCTAAGGCTCCCCCTCCTGGCCCAGGAGGAACCACAGGGATGAGGAAGGCTGGGGTAGGAGACCCTGAGGGGCAGGGCAGCTGGCGGTGGGCGCCCAGCGGGACCGCCCCGGCCCACCCAGGCCCTGGGCCGTTGCTGACACCTAGCGGCCACGCTGTGTCACCGGAGCTGCTGGACCTCCCCGGAGCTGAGGGCCGAGCCTGGGCGGGAGTCGGGGTGGCTGGGGTCACTCCCCCCACCAAAAGGCGGGAAAGAGGAAGAGGTTCCTTTCTCCCCCGCCCCACGAATTCCCCTCCTCTGGCTGGGTGCTGGGAGAGAAGACGGAGTAGCTGGAGACCATCAAGGTGCTCCCACCTGGGGAGGCCTACCCTGCAGCCCGTCTCCCCCCCACCAGCCCACCCCTCAGGACCCTCCTGCTCAGCCCCAACAACACCCCCGCAGGTGGGAGAGAGAAGGGGGGCTTGTTTCTGTTGGATGAAGGCCTCCTCCTTCTTGGATACTTGGTGCCTTGGCCTCCTCACGGAAGTATGACCCCTTGATCCCCTGCACTAATGCTCACACACACTCACTCACATCAGGTGTTAGAGGAAAGGAGGGGGACCTCACCTCTCTGAGTCACTCCTGGGCCCCTGGACCCTCACCCTCCCCAAGCTCTGAGCAGTGGGTGACACGGCAGGGTCAGGAGGCACGTAGTGTCCCAGGACGCCTGCCCCAGAGAAAGGGACTTGGGCCCACAACCCACGGAGGGCACCTCCCCAAAGAGGGGCGGCTCAGGCCATCCTCTTGTGTGCAGTGCAGACCCAGGGACCTGGCTGTCACAGAAGGAAGCAGGGGCTGAGGCAAGGGGCAGTCCCATCACGCTCACCTTTCAGAAATGGAAGGAACCCTTACCTTGTCTGAGGTGATGGTCATTGTCCTCATTGTCCAGATGCTGAAGATCCTGATAGTCATTTGTCATGGTAGGGCTGGCTGGACCCGGGCCTAGGTCAAGGTTGGGGTTAGGGCTGGGGCCGAACAGAGCCAGGGTGGGAGGTCCAGTCGGTCTCTAAGTGACCACTGGCTACAGGAAGACTTCCTTTCTCCTGTTCCCTGTTCGCTCCCAGGCTTGACATCCAAACTTTGTCCTCTGAAGTACTCCTGCCTGGTCCCCAGCCCACCCCGTCCCCTGCCTCTGCTTCCCCTTTTACTTGCTGATGGTCTTGAGGTCAGTTCCTGGATGCCTCAGTGCTGTGCAGATAGTAGCCTAAAAAGGCTGAAGCCTGGAGACTTGGGGTGCTCCGATAGCCCTGGAGGATGGGAGGGGAGGGTGCAGGGCCCATACGAGGGCCCTGAGCGCTGCGCAGCTGCGTATCTGTGTGTCCGTGTGTCTCAACACTCAGAACCTGGCATCCCCAGGGCCTGGGACTTTGGACAGTAAATAGAGGTGAAAAGGGATTTGGGACTCGGGGGATGTGTGTGGGGTGGGAGTGGGGGATGGGTCGCCACTGCTTCCCCCCCACCAGGGGGACTCTCCTGATTTGGCCCCCTCCCCCTTGCCCCCCTGCTGGTCACCTCACTCATCACTGGTATGGGGAGCCAGGCCAGGAGGGGCCCGGGGTGCACACTGCTGTTTCTGCCCCTCCCTCCTTTCACTTCCTGCCATCAAATTTCCCAGAATTGTTGGTGTTTCCAAATATCCCTGCCCAGGATTAGGGGGCCCTGTGCTCTGCTCTTGCCCAACCCCGGCTCTAACCCTGGCATCTGAGCCTGGGCCCCTTCCTGCAGAGGCTCTGCAGTCAGGCTCTCTGGCTTGGGGCTCGCTGGCTTCACTCCCCCAGGGGGCAAAGTCCTCCAAGCAGCCTGGGGTGGTTGGGGGAGAGACAGGAAAGCAGGTCTTTCCCACCCAAGCCCGGACTGGTGCCAGCAGGCTCCCATCGGCTCCCACTGTGTGTCTGGACTTGTCATCCATGAACTCCAGAGGCCGATGAGGAAACCAGCCCCCCAGGCAAGACGTTCCCCCAGGGTTATAACAGGCAAGGAAGCAGCAGAGAGAGGACTGGACTGTAATCCTCCTGGCCCCAGGACCAGAACGAAGAACCACACCCAGAACCAGGGATCCCATACCACCACCATGGCGGGGCCCTGGGGTCCCCAAGATGCTGACGCACAGACCCTCACAGTCCCACGGGGGATTCTGGCAGGAGTGTATGCATTCAAATCCTGCCAAGTTAGAAATCGGGCAATCCTAAAGATGTTCACTCGTCCCAAATGCCAAGTCATGCAAACCCTACGTTACAGTAATTTATTTCAATGACAGAACTAGACTTTATCATGAGAGTTCTATATGTCATGAGACCTTCTGGAACACAGTCCTTGCATGACACGTGAAAGGTCCGGGCACACCCCCATCGTCTGTGTCCTGAAAAGCCCCCTGTTGTGTGTACACACTGGGACTGTGGCCAGTCCTTTTGGGGACTTTTGGACTGTTGGTTTAGCATTCCCTTATATCATCACTCACAATCTGGTTTATTCGGGCAAATAAACCTGTGCTGCTTTGAGCCCAATAGTGGTTTACTCTTGTAGACACAGTGACTTGGGAGGCAGCATAAGAAGGCTTCTGGGGAACAGAAATGTGCACATCTTGATCCGGATGCCAGTTGCATGGACATGCTCCAAACTGCAGAAAGCCACATGCTCAGGATTTCTGCATTCCTCCATTTGCATGTTATATACTGAAATATGATGTTTCTGAAATCTGTTTTCTTATCCATAACCGCGTTCCCCAAACCCACTGATTAGGGAACAGGAAGCGGAGCCGTACTGAAAAATGCTCTCCAAAGCCAGTAGCTTTAGAATGGGAGCCCTCGGTGATAAAACAATGTGAAGAAAGCCAGACGAACCACATGATACACTGACCAATCAGGGCACTAACTTATAAGCAAGCCTCTTGCAAAATACCAAAGACAGTCCTAAGAAATGAAAAAGTAGCCAAAAAGGAAACTATGCCCCAATGATGGTATGTTTATGCTGAGAACTCACCCACCTCTTACACTTATTCCTTTGATAATATGTATCTTAGGGCGCCTGGCCAGTAGAGTGTAAGACTTGATCTCAGCATCGTGGGTTCAAGCCCCTGTTGGGCATGGAGCCTACTTTCATATATATATATATATATATATATATATATATATATATATATATATATATTAAATTATGCAAGGTCTTCAGGGACATAGGGCCTCATCTGTTTATTCTCTACTGCTGAGTAACTAAGTACCACAAAGTTAGTGGCTTAAAACAACACCTATTTATTAGCTTGCAGTTCTGTGGGCCAGAAGGTCAACTGGGTTCTCTGCTCAGATCTCACAAAGTTGAGGTCAAGGTGTAGGCAGGACTGTCTTCGTTAATGGAGGCGAAGAAGAAACAGAACGTGCTTCTAGTATATTCACATTGCTGATAGAACCTAGTTTCTTGTGGTTGTAGGACTGAGGTCCCTCTTTTCCTTGCTGGCTGTCAGTCAGGAGCTGCCCTCATCCTTGTCATGTGTGGCCTGTCCACCTTCAAAGTCGGCAACAGCACATGGACTCTTTCTCCAGTTTCAAATCTGACTCCCTCTGTGCTTTTAAAGGGGCCCACGTGGTTAGACTAGATCCACTTGGAAAATCTTTTCTTAAGGTCATCTGTGCACACATGATATATGGTCATATATAAGGTCAACTCTATAGGGGCATCTGGGTGGCTCAGGGGTGGAGCATCTGCCTTTGGCTAAGGTTGTGATCTCAGGGTCCTGGGATCGAGTCCCGCATTGGGCTCCCCGAGGGAGCCTGCTTCTCCCTCTGCCTGTGTCTCTGCCTCTCTCTGTGTGTCTCTCATGAATAAATAAATACAATCTTTAAAAAGAAAAACTTTGGGCAGCCCTGGTGACCCAGCGGTTTAGCGCCACCTTCAGCCTAGGGCGTGATCCTGGAAACCCAGGATCGAGTCCCACATTGAGCTCCCTGCATGGAGCCTGCTTCTCCCTCTGCCTGTGTCTCTACCTCTCTCTCTCTCTCTCTCTCTGTCTCTGTGTCTCTCATGAATAAATAAAAAAAAATCTTAAAAAGAAAAAAGTAAACATCTTTAAAAAAAAAGAAAGAAAAACTTTGACAGAGGCTGCAGAACTCACTTCAGGGACGCTCACTGGGGAGTCGGGGCTGGCAGTCAGCAGGAGGCCGCAGCTCCTCACCAAGCAGGCCTCCCCTCGGGGCTGCTTGAGGTCCTGACAACCTGGCGGCCACTCCCCGCAGAGCAAGGGATTCAGGAGCCCAAGGCGGAGCCACGGTTTCTCCCCTCAGAGTTAACTCTCCATCATTTCCACAATATCCTCAGGGTTACACAGGTCACCCCACCCAGTGCGGGAGGGCACCACACAGGGTGTAAATACAGGGAGGTGAGAATAATTGGGGGCCATCCTGAGGGCTGACTACATGTCTAGAATTCATCAGTGGGTGAATATGCCCTGGGGGACACACGGAGGCTCAAGAACACTTTACAGTCTGGCTATAGACTCTGAGACCCACGAAGAGTTGCTGGCAAGGCAGGTCTGTGAGCTCAATGGGAGCCTGGCCTCGGGGTGGGTGGTGGGTCCAAGGTGGGCTGCCAGGACGCAGGGCGCTGGGTCCCAGTGAGAATCTGTGAGGCTGGAGGCCAGAGAGGGAAGCACGTGGGCAGAACTCTAGCAGAGGGTGGGATTGGACCTCGTGGCTGCTGCACACCCATGAGGAAGAGAATCGTGGGGAGGGGGGACATCGGTGCAGGTAAGCAGGCCAGAAGGTGGCCAGAGATGGCTCTGGAGTCCACGGAGATGCCTGAGCTGGAGACACTCACCAGAGTGCAGAGTGTGGCCCAGGTGTGGCCCTGCGATGAACCCCCCCCCCCAGTGACAGTCATGGTGGAAAGGAAGTAGATGGGACAGGGTCCCTGCCAATGGAGGAAGCTGAAGAGAGATGGCCGGCGCTACCAGTCATCCAAGCCAAGGAGTGGGGCTGACCTTCGGGCCAGCCCTGGGGACTCCAAGGGCCAGGTTAAGACCTCCAAGGGGAGGGATCCCTGGGTGGCACAGCGGTTTGGCGCCTGCCTTTGGCCCAGGGCGCGATCCTGGAGACCGGAGATCAAGTCCCACGTCGGGCTCCCTGCATGGAGCCTGCTTCTCCCTCTGCCTGTGTCTCTGCCTCTCTCTCTCTCTCTCTCTCTCTCTCTCTCTCTCTCTGTGACTATCATAAATAAAAATTAAGATTTAAAAAAAAAAAAGACCTCCAAGGGGAGATGGGGAAGGGCCTCCCATTGGGGTGAGCCAGGAGAAGGAAGGGTTTCTGGGCAGGTGGTGAGCAGAGAACAGAGAGCATGCAGGCGCTGGGAAGGAAGGGTGCTGAGGGAAGGGGCGCTGGGCAGCACAGTTCTGGGTGCTGAGCTCCCTTGGGTTCACCCACTCCCTCTCAGAGGGCTTTCAGACTCAAGCTTGGGATTGACCTCGCCTGGCCCTTCGTCAGAGGGGGCACTGCATGCCAGCCCAGAGTCACTGCCAAGGTCAGGTGAGAGAGTGAGGGAAAAGCGCTTAGTGCCAGGCCTGGGACACACTAGGTTCTCAACACCTGCTGGCTCTTCGGGTACTGTTCTCATCACCAGCAGCACAGCTGAGAGTGCAGTAAGCCTCCCCACCCTGGAGCCTGTGAATGTGGGGAAGGGGGAAGGCTGGGGTCAGGACAGCAGAGCACCTGTCTCCCCATCTCCCAGAGGGGGGGTTAGGAACTACCCTGGGGCAGAACTGGGGACCTGGTGTGTTGGCTAAGACAGCCCCTCCCTTCCTATGCAGAAGACCTGGGTGCTGAGCCCCCTCAGGTTTCAGGCTTGAGCTTGGGACAGGCCTGCCTGGCTTGCGCCCTTGCCACCACCCCAGGGTCCAGACAGCCCATTGCACCCTCAGGCTGCAAAGTCAGACACCCAAGAAGCCTCTCCAAGAGATGATGGGACAACAGGCAGAGGGGGGAACAGAAGGCTCAGTGCTGACTTTCCAGACAGGGTGACCTACAGCTCCCCAAATCCAGGAGAGGCTGAGCAGGGCCTGGGTGGAGATGAAGCAGGAGGGGTTAAGGGAGGGGCGCACGGGCTGGAGGCTCAGTGCTGGGAGCCCCCTGCAAAGGAAGAGGGTCTCCAGGGGCGGCAAGGAGGAGGTTTCCAGCAAGAACCCACAGAGCCCACTCAAGGGTGTCCAGACCCGAGGCTGCTGGGCAAGAACTTCCTCGTCCTGGCTCCTCGCTGTTGGCACAGCCAGGATTCTGGGACCCAGGACCCAGCCCGCTCCTCTTTCCCACTTTTATTTACAGGTGTACGTTTAGAAAAAAAAATTCAAACGCCACGTTTCCAGGTTTTATTTAACT